GAAGAATATATAGCCTCAGTCTTATTATTTTTCAGTGAAACTGTAATCAGACATAAGTGCAGAACGAGATAATCTACAAAATGACCGTGAAATAAATTAAATGGATGTTCAGACTTCAGACAATTCATCTACGAGTTGTAAAGGTGTCGGCCTGTTTGGACATCTGAGCTACCTGTTCCTGCCATCTAGATATTTCTACGAGGTATCTATTTTTGTTTGTTTTAATACATCATTATGTTTGTTAATGGCATAACCTATTCAGGTGAGTTTATGAAAAGTGTATAACCTTTCGTTGTACAAGTTACAAGAGGCCCAATCAGAGATATCGTGGTTGCTGGCAGTATACAGAGAAAAGAATCAATATTGTTCAGATGTCAGTTGATTGAACTGTTAACATCTAAATGGCGATCACTCAATATTTATCGCCAGTATCGATCAAGAATAAAGAAACAGAAACTTGTTGAAATACTTTGTGCTGAAGATTCTAAACTGCACCAAAAATATAATATTAAATAAAGCTAATAATAATTGAATAACTGGTGTAATAATTAATCTATCGACTCCACAACTGATCTATTTTAAATTAAGACTGTGCGCTTAAATTCGCTACCGCTCTATATCTCTTCATTTACTCCAATTACATTGTTTAGCACTGAAGAACCAGAAAAAATTACACACATATAAGTATCGTTATTCACAAGACAAACAATTTAAATCAATAACTCACATTAACCATTTCCATATCCAATTTATTCTCTTGACAATAATTGATAAGTTCTTGTTTATCAACAATTTCATTGTTATCTTTATCCAATTCAAAAAATAATTCGATTAATTGCTCCATTTATTGTTTGTTTTTTATAAAATCTTTTATTGTATTTACTGAAAAAGGTAAATATTGAATTCAATTAGATATAATTGTTTAGAAATAACATCATGTTCAAAATTATATATTTCAATGAATGAGTCAAATAAAAAAGTTAGTTTATTGTAGAAATTTACATTTAGTAAATACTAATAAACTGATAAACAATGAACAATTATTTTGTCGGAGTTTGAAATTGTTAACTATATATATATATATATATATATATATATATATATATATATATATATATATATATATATATATATATATATATATAATCTCTATAGTACAATGTAATCATCATTATATCTTAAGATGAATAGAATAGCTTTAATCCATTCGGTTTGAAATATGCTAAATTTTATTTTATTTTTTCGCTATTTAGTCAACTTAAAATTGTACTCAGAATGGTTTTTGTGGAGATTTTAGAAAGTTCACTAGTTGAAATTATGAATCAATCGTGGATGCGCACTACTGAGGAGTCCCAGACTAGGATGAAACGGCCGTCCAGGTTTTCCATGGTAGTCTAGCTTCAATTGACCCATGATTTCAACCAGTGAAATTTTTAAAATTGTACTATTTCCATTTTATAATTTATCAATGTTTAAATAATGATCAAGAATTATATTCTTCAAGAGATTGACATTATTCAATATCCTATTCAATCTTGAAATAAACCATGTTCATGAATGATATCAAGTTATGATTAAATGTTCATCTAGTTTTTTCATTAAAACTTTAAATTGTTTAGCTAAATTGATGAACAACAAAAAAAGATTTCAAATACACCAATATTTACCTGAAATGTTTCAATATAAATCATTAGTGAATACTCTCTCTTTTCTTTCTATTTTAAAATTAAAACAAAGGAAAGTTATTGTAAAAATCAATGATAACGTCTTTATAAGTGCTTTCATCGTACACACATACATACATACATTATATATATATGCATATATATGCATATATATATATATATATATATATATATATATATATATTCAAGAAAGTGCATGCGTGCACACACGTATGATTCAGATTATACTTTGAAAATAAAATGAATATATAAAATGCATAGCAATTTTTTTTCTTTAATATTATAAATTTCAAGGTCACTATGCACTTGTGTACACATTCTAGATCACGTGGATATTTTCAAATTATTAAGAGAGCGATCAATTTATATTAACGTGTTTAGACTGAATGATTTAGTGGATGAGTGGGCAGTAAATAATTTCGTTGCCAGATTGGTGCTTCATTTTCTGTTGTCTTCTATTTTCCTTAAAAATAAACCTATATTTAATACTTGAAAAAAAAGTAATATGATTTCATTAAAAGAATAATAGACTGTAGAATATAATAGTTGAATTCATGAGCCACTAGATGGCTGTTTCATCCTAGTATGGGACTCCTCAGTAGTGTGCATCCACGATTCTGCTCAGCGATATTCGAACCCAGGACTTATCGGTCACGCACCCGAACGCTTAACCTCTAGACAATTGAGCTGACATCCAACGGTTTCAATGTTCGATAGGTCCTGGGTTTGAATCTCGCGGCGCGGCATCGTAGATGCGGCCGTTCAATAATTCCAGGTTTTTCATCGTGGTCTAGCCTCAATTGACTCATGAATTCAACTTGTAAATTACTACAGTCTCCACAAAACCCCTATCAGACTGCAAAATATTTGGTGACAGTCAATGAAAAGATAATAATTAAGATTTACCATTTATCAATACTTATATACGCATCTGAATGTTAAGGTTTAGTAGTTTAAAATTTATTAATCTTCAAGGATAAGTTCATCATGCTACTAATAACAACTTGCTACTTTAGTATCGTTAAGATATTAAACAAGTAAATAAACGTCAATTTGTGAAATCCCGTGTTCAGTTATATGATAAAAGTAACATTATGTAATGATTTTGTAACCGAAGTAATCTGTTCAAAAGTTGACAGAAAAATCATCAAATTATCTGTTTAATGTATATATGCTTCGAGTTGACATAACCTTGAAAGGTGATTACCAGTGTTATGTAATTCATTTGCATTAAGTAATGACACTGAACTCCAGAGGTTACATACTTAAGTTGCTGAAAAATTTAGTAAACATTCATATTTTATCCATTTTTCACTAGAATATTTTCAACTTAAATTTACAATATAAAATAAACTCAAAAATACCTACAATGATTTATTTGGACAGTTTATTTGATGTTATATTTGGTAAAAGATTGATACTTTTACTCTGAATTTCTACGTATAAAAGTCTGATATGACAAAATACATTTTGAGTAAACAAGAAACTTATTCTAATTAATTTGGAATGTTGAGAATACTTAAAACGGACGATGGAATTGTTCTAAACTGTGAACTTATGAATATTCATATGAATATGATATATCTTGTCGATTGAATGCTACTTGTTATATCTGGTCGTCGCTGATTGTTGTGTCGGAAACGCTTATCACTTATGCTAGAAACGAGGGACTTCTGTAATTCCCACGACTCGAAAGTAAGAACACAAAGACTGGTATAAGTGAAGATTTATTAACCCAGAAACACGACGACGACCCTAGTAGAAAATACATTCATTTATATTGATTGTAAACACACTTTGATTAATAGTTGGGATGAAACCATATATATGAAAAATAGTTATGACAAATCATATGCTCAGTATGGTTCATATTAACTTAATACAAGAATATCGTATATTATACAGAATAAAATATCATAAGGGAAAACAAAACCGAGTACTACACTGAATAATCATCACATTAAATCAAAACGGAAGTAAAGTTGAACAAAACTCATAATGAGTAAATCAATCGAATTTTGACTTTTTTCCTGTCATATCAGAATGATATATAAATTCATTTTTACAGTAATTATATTCTGTATCTGTCTTTTTATATTTATACAAAGTATCCTGAAAACGCTCTACACTTCTGAAAAATAAAAGTTTATCAAGATAGAGAAGTTAGTTCTTAGCAGAAAATCTGCTGTGATATAGATATGTTACTTAATTACTTACGCCTGTTGCTCCTCGTGAAGGAACATAGGCCGCTCACCAGCATTCACCATCCAACCCTGTCCTGGGCAATCCTTTCCAGCTCCTTCAAGTTATTATTCATTTTTTTCATGTCTGTTTCTATTTTCCGACGTAATATGTTCTTTGGCCTTCCTCTTTTGCGCTTCCCTTCAGGATTACAAGTTAGGGCTTGTCTCGTGATGCAGTTTGACGATTTGCGTAATTTATGTCCTATCCATTTCCATCGTCTTTTCCTAATTTCCTTTTCAGCTGGAAGCTGGTTTTTTCTCTCCCAGAGAAGGCTGTTGCTGATGGTATCCGGCCAATGGATGTTGAGTATCTTGCGTAGACAACTATTTATAAATACTTGTACCTTCCCGATGGTGTACCGTATATTTATTTATTGATCGCCTCAATTCTAATCAATTTAGTTTTTCGATCAAAAACTATTCAGATTTAACTATCCTTGAAGGTCTTAGTAATATCAAGGTGGAATTAATTAGCATTAGGCTTACAGAACTGTAATCAAGTAGAATTATATTTTGATAGAAACAAAGCTTTCATATATTATTCAGAGTTCTTTACAAGTGTGTGTAGTTTGTGCGATACCTTGTCATAGGAAATACGGTGACATGAAGGTAAAATCTATAAATCATTTTTGGAAAACTTCGGTTTCATTATTAAGACATAATGTCATTTCACACACTGTTATCACTAAACAATATTAATATTAGTTTTTCAGTAAATAACCTCAATATCCATTCATCAAACAGGAAAAAAGTCTATCAGTATAGATTTTAACTTGGGTAAATAATCAACCAAGTTCAGGTTCTGTGAAGTAGTATTTTAAATTGAAAGAGCAAAATCTTGCTGCATTAGGGTAGGAGTTGACTAAATAAACTGCTATCAACATACGATAACTAGTAATTTAGTAATATACACTTCAACCAATTAGAAGCCATAAAAATGTAGTATCTCCCAAGAAATCTACGAATATAACCAATCAAATGTGCATTTACTAATCCTATTAAAAATCAAGATAAGTGAACAGTTTTCCATGAAAATATTTATTTTACTTCATGAAATTTTCAATGAAAATTTGGAGAATATTCTTTGTAACATTAGCAATCAGTATGGACGTTAACATCTGCTTAAATTAACTATTTACATAATTAGAAGAAATGAGAACGAAATACCTATAGATATATATTTTCAGTTCTGCTTTATTCATGATCTCAATCAAAAACTTAATAATCTTCACAACCCCTATACTAGTTATTCGGATAAATAATATTATGTGTGCTGCACAACAGGGAATAATTAATATCCTGCGTCATGGAAATTCGGTTGCTGACAAAATTGATATAACTTCATTCTGCTTTTCATTTATCAATATATGCCTCAATCCAATCTTATTATTGTATATGTTTGATATTAACCTGGGAACACAATTTCTCAGCATAATGATTATGTTACAAATGACATGTGAATGGTTTGCTTCAGTTGCTAGTGTATTGTATATATTTTGTCCAATTGTTAAAACAGATCAAATGTGGTTTAATTTGATATTTTGTCATATGTGGAGTAGTACATTTATATACAATCTATTCATTATGTTCTGTAAGTTTAATGCTATGTCAATGTTGATAGAACGTTGTTTCCGACTATTTTATCCAAATAAAAACATATTCGATTATCCACGAACTATCTTTACATCTTACTGTTTTGCAATGATATATATTACAGCAATCAATTTAAGATTTACAGCTATGGTACAAATGGATTCAGATGGAGGATGTGTGGCTGTTGGAAAAAGTCCTATTGATGAATTTCATCAACAACAACTATTAGTTTTTGGTTATTTATGTTTGGCTTTATTATTAATATTACCAGCTATTGTTGTAACAACATGTTATATATTAATGATAATTCATTATATTCGTAGGAAACGTTCAAATAAAAATTTTAATGGTTTTCATTTACATAATTTGCAAGATATTTTAACATTACTTGTAATTATTTGGTCTGCTGAATCAACAATAGCTAATATACTTGATATGGTTTCATTTTATGATTTTAAAAATTATGGTTATACTAAATTAGCAGAAATAATTCAAAGTTCAACTGAATTAGTACGTACAATATTTTTTGTTAGTCGTACACTTAGTTTATTTATTTGTATTCAATCTATTCGTTCTAAATTTATTGAACATATTCAATTCATTGGTACCTTTTTTATTAAAATATTTAAACGATTGATAAGGAAACAATGAAAACAAGTGTGTCATTTCATTTCATCTTTTTTCTGTTTTCTTAAAATATCAATGGTTGAGATCATGAATCAATTGAAGCTAGACCACTATGGGAAACCTGGAAGCACTGGACGGCCGTTTCGTTCTATTGTGGGACTCCTCAGCAGTGCACATCCATGACCTCTCCCTCTGCAAGATTCGAACCCAGGATGGATGGATGAGCACTGCTGAGGAGTCCCACAATAGGACGAAACGGCCATCCAGTGCTTCCAAGTTTTCCATGGTGGTCTAGCTTCAATTGACTCATGATCTTAACCATTGAAATTTTTTTAAATCCTTAAAATTTAATTTACTTTTACATTTGTTTGATTGTTTACTTATTCAAACTTTATTGTTTATCTAATCAGTTCCTTTTGTTGTTTCTTTAGTATGTAAATTTTATCTCTATAAAACTTTTGATGTTTAAATGATGATTAATTGAACCTATTTATTTAGTTTAATTCTTCTTTCTTTTGTTACTAGGTTAGGTGACTTTATTTTAAATCTTTGATCACCTTTCTGAATGTTATTACAATTTATTTCATTTAGATGTCTACATAAAGTAGGCATTAATTATATTGTCAAGAAATCATAATGAAAGCTTTAAAATTAAGCCATCTAATTTAGAGAAGAAAACAACACTAAAAGTATTCACTTAAACTTTATCATTTCCAGATCCTATTCTTTTGGATAAATACTTTTTTTTTCACACATTATTTACAAACTAATTAACGTTGCAATCATTTTTTATTGACAACTCACCTCCTTCTGACAGTTCATAATAAATTGTGCTATTAGTGTTTGTTCACATTAACTGAGCCTAAGAAAATATTTATGATACTCTAGTTTAATTTTCAGAATAACATTTCGAAGCTTATTTTGATTAACACTTAGACAACAGCGTGCAAATGACATATTTTCTTTAAATCTATTCTTTCCATAATTTCAATATGAAGTAAAAGATTTTGTTGTATTTTGTTTATTACATACCTTTTCTCAGTATCATTGATTATAGATCTTACTTCTTTCATTCACTGTCATGATAAGAAGCTAATTTTAAGTTAAACGTATGACATTCTGATATCATAATTAATTGCAATGCGATAGTACAGTGTTGTTATAGGAATAGAGATAAAAGATTCACAGGAACTAAATAAACTGCTTAATACCTACTATTGTTAACCTAAATGTATAGTATATTGCATCACTCAGTTGTGAAAACTATCATCATACTCAGTAAATTTCCACAGATCATCTAAAGTATGGTTGTACAGTGGCTGGCTTTCATACGGATGTGTCAAAAGTTTGGTAAGAAACCAACATATACTGAGTCTATCTCGCAGAGAGTAAAGAGTTTAGTCACCGATTATGTTAGATGAACTTTATGTTACATCATGATTTGAATGGATTTTACAAATGTGACTCACTGGCATAAGCACATAGTACATGTTAACAAACTTGGAAGTTTTAGATCTTATATAAAAGATATGTGCTTTAATTATTCGTAAAAGTTTTGTAACATCAAGGTGTATATCTGATGATTGTAAGAAATGAGGAATTTTATCTAATTCCATAATACCAAAAATATATAAATTCCATATGTTTCTTGATTAATTAGAACTCAGATTTTTATGACAACTCCATCAAATATTTTAGTTGTTTCCAAGTAATAACAAAAACATGTGATTAGATCTATGCATCATCTTGTAATAAACTATCATCAATGAACCAGATAACCAATAAGAAAGAGACAGTTGTTTCACTATCGTTTTAAACTTCTCGGGGATCGTACCATCCACGAAAGATTCAACGAAAAAAAGGAAAATATGGGGATAATTCATTTATAATAAATAACTAACTTAATCTAACGTCATCACCTCTGATATGGTTGACCATTAACTAAATAGGTGTTCATTATCACCTTATTTTTTATTAATCCTTTGATTTAACCCAGCTTATGATTTAAAAATCCTTTAGATCAGGAGGACCAAGCGAACTGTTTAATTGAATATGTATGTAAGCAAATGAGAATTTCTCTCCATATTCTTCTTTACAAACTATCTTTTGGTTAAGTTGGTATTTCAGAGTAATATTCATTGTTTGAAAATAAAGGCCACTTGTTTTTTGTGTAGGACGATTCATGTAATTAATTTAGACATCTTATGGAAGATAATGTATAGAACGACGACCTTTATTTGTTTGATCACTATGTTTGAAGTGCTAGTATTATTCATTTGCTCTGATTATGATGTAATGTAATCGATGAATAAAGTGAACTATATTTTATCATATCTCAATTTTCTCTCTTAGAAGCCTTTCTTATCTGGTTGTAAAGGTGACCCAGCGATATCGATTCAAACAGCATATTTATTGGAAAGTGGTTCGTAATATGTGAAAGGCGCAAAATGCTCTCTCTCTATAAACAGTGAAAATAGGTCAACTAGACTTTGTTAACATGGAAAACGATAATTAATGAAAAGTATGCAATCATGAAATGATGTATTATGTATAAGTATTAAAATTTCATCATAAGACATGCTATTCGTTTGGTTGAATTAGCTCTTTATCGAAATACAACTACCTTGGTACTTTATCAATTTGTTTATCTGCTTAAGTAAGTTACTGCTAGGTAGATTTCTCTTGTCTTTGAGGAGATAATGTTTGTGAATATATTTCCCACTGACATTAATATACTATGAATTTCATGCTATAATAAAAATGCTGTTAGGGAATGGGTTTAGGCGACGACTATTATTTATACAAATTTGTAAGCAGTTCCTATTTGAATCAAATGTTAAAGATAGAATGTCTCCTTATACTGGCAAATAGGGTATTGCAAATGAATGATCTTGAGATTCAGTTCCTTGTGTGAATTACTTAAAGATCTGACGATATTCTCAGGTACTCTATAGTGCTGAAAAAGGTCCTACAAAGTTCTTCTATCCACGTCATCATATGACTATTCATAGTCAAGGAAGCTGGTCTATAAGTTCCATTCAATTCGTCGTTTAATAATGATTTAAAGTGTTGCTATTCGGTCGGTATATGCTCGATCCTTACGAACGTCAACCTGTTGATCTCAAAGTTGGGTGTCTACCAAAACTTTCACTCGATTTAGCGACACTACCGAATACTTTACCCGACACTAATAGTATTGTGACTCCTCTGTAGTCCACACACTTGTTGAAGTCTTTCTTCGCTATCTTGAAAATATATCCTTATTTCCAGTCTCTTAGTGCTTGTTCTTCATTCAAAACCTTTCTGAAAATAATGTGAAGGATCTTTGCATTTATCTTTATGCTTGTTGGTACGTTGTCTGGTCCTACCGCTTTGCTATTCTCGATTTACTTGATGACTTTGCTGATTTTGATCATTTCTAGTGTGGTATTATCTCTTAGGAAATCAGATTCTGTTGCTCCTGTGAATTTAACAGGAAATGATCTATTCAATAGTCCTTCAAAATGCTCTGCCCACCGATCTCACTGATGATGAATCTCAGTGATAGCTTTATCTTCTTTTCCTTGGTTTCTTGCTTCGGTTTTCTATATTTTCCATCTAGCTTCTTTGTTGTATAGTAAAATTCCCTCATATTTATCTCCTTCCAGCTTTTTCTGCTATTACTGCTAGATCTTCTGAGCATTCCCGTTTATTAGCCCCAACGCTCCTCTTTATTCGCTTGTTTGTCTCGGTGTTTTTGGCTTGTATCTTGACTTCCCCTGCTCATATTCGATCGTTGTCAGTTGCTGTCCTCATGTTCTTCCTTTCTTGGATTTGCTAAGGATATCAAGAATGATCAACTTTTAATCCTGAAGATTCTTTGGACTCAGCATCTTACCTCACTGTGAAGTTATCACTTCTTTAATATCTTTCCGATTGTTTACCATAATGGTTTCTTCATCTAGTAGATTTTGTATGACTTAGAGCTTATTGTTGAGAGCTAGAACTCATTGAGTTTGGTAACAACCCGAACAAATCTATATAAAATTTTTGTAACGGTAAATGTAGAATTGTCCAATGCTTCTTTAGGTTCAGTTTTATCTCAGCCGCAACCAAGTGATGATCTGAAGCCATATCAGCTCCTCTCTTTGTTTTGAAGAATGCCTTGATCATCTTGATACCATAACATTCTTATCCAGTAAGTACTTGTCATACGTATTTGAGCATCATTAATACAACTCCTTGTGTGCATGAAGTATTTTCTTCATAACTAGAGTACAGCAGCACATGAAATATAAAGAATGTTACAGACTAGCAATGATCGCTTAAAAGACTATCAAATCACAGAGTGAAGCAGTTTATTTCCATTATTCGTCAATCTCAATAGGCCACTAATTGCATAAAATATCCAATTACTAGGGGAATATTTTTAATACAGATCAAAGCAGCTAGGTTATAATTTGAAGGCAGTCCGGATTACAAATAACTGGATAACCATTTAAATCCTTGCAGGACCGAACTTCTTTGTGGTCTGCACTCATGGCTACACCAGCGACTGAAATCAGAACCTTAAGTTTGTGTGGTGCATTACATTTAGTTCACTGAGTTTGAACAGAAGAGTGCACTTTTCTAGCTTCATTTGGCTTGCGTTACTACATAACGATTTCTATTAATAACTGGATCCAGGGCGTGTACCAAATAGGAGGATCAAGTTGAAATCAATCACCTGACCTAAAAACGTCAATTGTTAGTTATTGTCTTGCCAAGCTCAGAGGGTTATGTAAACTCTGTCTAGACCCAGCATTCTCCACAAACGCCTTTTTTAATGACTACACCAAGGTCAATTGTTTATTAGGTAAATCTTTGTGTTTCATTACATCTGTTTCCAGTGCCGGGAAGAAATATGAAATAGGCCTAACTTCTACACTGATATCTATGTTGACCCGTCCAAAATGTTTTATTCAACTAAATAATTCAATATTTGAAATATTCTGAGTTGGTATTCTCCTTTTTGTAAAATTATATAAACACTACTGAGCTTTTTTTTCCATGATCACTATATCAACATGAGTGATTTTTTTCAATGATACGTCAACAACCTACCATTTCGAGAAAAATTTCAATTAT